GAAGTTAAAAAATGAGCATATTTTAATTTAGGAACAACGATAATGGACAGTTAATAAGTTGATTTGTTATTCTGACTGCAGCCTTTCTGTTTTTTCCTAAGACTAACGTGGATAACATTCTGATTTCACTGCATGCCTGATCATCAATGATGCACTGTATGTGATTCCAAATGACCAAAAAAAGCATAAATTCTCTTTTTTAGGAATCCTGATGTAATTTATATTTGTTTCTTTTTGAAATCCACACAATTTAGAAATTAATGTGTCCCACAATACACTCTCAGTGGCATTGCAGCTATACAGATATACTCCTGAACACAGTGGAAAGGTGGATTCTTACTCTGACGTCCCTCTCCTTCCTCTGGTGACGAGCTCCACGTTCTGTGCTGCTGCCTCTGCTGGTGGCTTGTTTGGTACAAACAGTGACACACATGCAAACAGAAATTTTTACCCCTTAGGTAACACAAGCACAGATGTTTCTTTTTTCAAAAGCCCACAATTACCTCAGTTCTGTCCTGTTACTGTGACAAACACATATTTTCACTGAGGAAGACAGAAACAGACACAGACATTCCTGTTCCTTCAGTAATATACAGATATTTCTAGTTCTTCGTGCACACACACACACACACACACACACACACACACACAACTTCCATCTGCATGCAGAGTGATATTAATCCTGTTGTCCTTTGAAGGTCACAGGACTGTCACTGTTTCACAGGGGTGTCACACATACCTCACTCACACACCTATTGGCCTCTTGCAAAATGATATCAGTTACATCACTGCCAGACTTTTCACTCCCCCTGTAGAGATATTTCTAGTCATTCTCAAACAAATGCATATGCACACATGCAAATAAATCATAAACATGTAAATTGTCACGTGGCGAGAGGCAAGGAGACCAGGATCCAGGAATGCGGGGAAGGAAGTGTTTTATTAGATCGAACTGTGGTCGTTCAGAGGGAGCCGTAAGCTCCGTAAGGGGAAACGGGGCGAAGCCCGGTCTCCAGGGAGCCCGGGAGAAGGCGATTAGGCAGACCAATCCGGAGGCGGCGAGCAGAGAGAAAGGTCGAGGTCGAAAGCTAAGGTCGAAATCCGAAGGGTCAGTCCGATACACACACTCGGGACAGGGAGACAGGAGGGCTGGTCAACACGGAAAGCCGGGCTCAGCGGGACGGACGGATCAAGGACGGGAGCTGGGCTGAGGAGGTAAGAAGCAGGAGTTAAGGGGCGCACACAAGGAGGACAGGTAAGGAATGGGAGTAGTGGGAGACGGAAGACAGAAATACGCTTGGTAAGGCTAATCATGAGCTCAATACTTCGCGACTTGGACGAGCTCCACTTTGCCCTTATGTAGGGGCGGTAAGTGACCTGGCGCTGTCCGCCCATGTCGGGTCCGCCCCCGTGGGCGTGACAGTACCCCCCCCTGACAACCGCCTCCAGGAGGTCCACGCCGTTTGCGGGGACGCCCACGGGGTCGGGGTGCCGGCTTGTCGGGATGGGGCCGATGAAACTCCGCCGTCAAGGTGGGGTCCGACACCTCCGTGGCCAGTACCCAACTTCGCTCGTCCGAGCCCGTACCGGTCCAGTCCACCAGGTATTGCAGACGCCCCTGTCGCCACCGGGAATCCAATACAGCCCGCACTACGGGTTCCGGATCGTCCGGCACAGGAGCAAGGTCTTCTACTGTCAAGTCCGGGGGAGGACGCAGACTGCTGTATTTCACTGGTTTCAAACGGAAAACGTGGAAAGTAGGCGAAATACGGTACATTCAACTGGAGCTTGACGGTTACTGGTCCTACTCTTTGTAGTATCCGAAAGGGTCCTATGTATCTGGCTGTGAACTTACGGCAACCCGGGATCCACAGGTTCTTGGTCGACAACCACACCTGTTGTTCGACACGGAAGGGAAATCCTGGATGCCTGTGCTTGTCGGCTTGAACCTTGGTTCTAGTGGACTGTACGCGGATGATAAGCGGATGTTAAGCTGAGGGTAATATTCAGTTTATGGCAAAATTCTCTAAATACACGGGACGCGAACTGAGGACCCCGATCCGATACAATATCCTCTGGAATGGCAGTAAATCTGAATAGTTCCTGTATCAACACTTCGGCAAGGTAATTTCGGCAAAGGAACCAGGCGACACATTTTTGAAAACCTGTCTACGATGGTAAGGATAATGGTCTTGCCGGCGGAACGAGGTAGGTCGGTGATGAAATCCATCACCACGTGGGACCAAGGTCTGGAGGGGACAGGTAAAGGTTGTTACAGCCCTGCCGGGCTGAGATTGCTGGATTTGTTACGTGCACACTCAGGGCAGCTATCCACATAGGCTCGAACATCTTGCTGCCACCCGGGCCTCCAATATCGGCGGGACACCAAGTGCTGAGTCGCCGAAACCCCTGGATGTCCCGTCCCGGGCTGGGAATGAATCCAGTGCAACAATTGCAAACGGTGCGTTCGTGAGACGTACCTCAATTCGGGGGGGCATCCCGAGGGGGCGGCTCTGTTCTCGTTCTCCAGCCGGATTCTCTCCTCCAATCCCCAGGTGATTGAGGACACAAAACAGGAGGGATCGAGGATGGGAACCGTGCGATCCTCGTACTCGGGGGGATCGTACTGTCTAGACAAAGTGTCCGCTTTCCGATTCTTCTCCCCCGGAAGGTAATTCACCCTAAACGAGAAACG